TTATTTTATTTTATTTTATTTTTTTATTAAAAATTTTTTTAAATGTTTTATTTATTCTTGAGAGCGAGAGAGACAGAGTACAAGTGGGGGAGGGGCAGAGAGAGAGAGGGACACAGAATCCAAAGCACGCTCCAGACTCTGAGCTGTCAGCCCAGAGCATGATGTGGGGTGGGGCTCAAACTCGTGAACTACGAGATCATGACCTGAGCCAAAGTCAGATGCTTAACGGACTGAGCCACCCAGGCATCCCCCAGTACCTTGATTTTAGCCCAGTGAGGCTGATTTTGCCCTTCTGATCTCTAGAACTATAAGATCATTTTTTAAAAATAAAGTTTATTTATTTATTTATTTATTTTGAGAGAGAGAGAGACAGACAGTGAAGTGGGGGAAGGGCAGACAAGGAGAGAGAATCCTAAGCTGCCAGCAGAGAGCCCAATGTGGAGCTTGAACTCACAAAACCATGAGATCATGACCTGAGTCAAAACCAAGAGTCAGATGCTTAACCAGCTGAGCCATGCAGGCACCCCTCCAGAACTATAAGATGATATATTTGTGTTGTTGAAGCAACCAAGGTTTTGATCACTTGTAACAGCAGCATTAAAACTAACACAATGGGTGATGGGCAAAACCTGGGGGCCAGGGGGAGTATGCATCAGTGAGCCCAGCTGTGGCAAAGTAAATGTCACAGAGACTGGGGAGGTAAAGCCAAATGTGTCAGGGCTTACAGTAGCTTAATAGCCAGCTCTTTGGCTAACTGTTTCATTTCTTGGTTAAACTGGTGATGGCCACCCCTTACTATCCAAGCCTGTAGAGAAAGGGTAGCAGGCAGTGTGGGCAAACTTGCCCAAAGTAAGACTTTTGTGTTTTTCCTAGTCAGTCACACTATGATCCTGAGAACTAATGGTCGCTAGAGTCCCCATTATAGTCACTGCTGGGGAATTCTGTGGGCTTCCTGACACTTAAACTATCAGAATTGCTTCTCAGACAGACTGTCTGAGTGTCTGTCTTCCTCTTATGAATTCTCAGAAACTCAAAACTGAAGTCTATTTTGCTTCCATCCTCAGAGCTGAGAAAAAAAGGAAATACCTCACTATGTGTAAGTAAATAACACAAGATGATCATGTTAGTAATGATAACGATACCATTTGAGTTTCCTAAGAACACTTTACGAAACTTTGTAAACCTCATTTCTTTTAGTCATTATGATCCCATAAAGTACGTACTATTATTATCTTCAACTTACAGATGAAAGAACTAAAATCCAGAGTGATTAAGGAACTGCCCCACAGGACAGAGCTAGCCAAGTGGTAACCCAGCTCAATCTTACTCCAAAGCCCATGTGTTGTCTCCCATGGCTGTAAGTACCACACTACTTCCCCAGAATTAGCTGCAGATTGGAAGGCTCCAGTTTTCTCTAGCTCTCCCAATACCAGGGCAGAGGTTTTGACTGAACATTACTTGTTGTGACTAAAAAACATGGTCCAGAAACCTAACAACATTCTTTCAATCCTAACCACCATGCTATATTGGTGCTCTACGTGCCATTCTCTTTTTAGGCTCTCCCAGCCAAATATATCCATCTCTTCATGGCCTGACTTCCCATCACCTCTTCCTTATTTCTTATCAAACCCCATTTGTCATGACTAATGGAGGAAAGAAGGAGAAAGGAAATAGGGCAGAGGAAGAGAGGGGCTGGGCTATGCTGATGCAGTGGTAAACGTCCTGAGTCCTTTGTGAGAAAGGGCAGAACTGGTGCCCAGCAGCTCTAGAAACTGAAAGCTGGGGTCCTTTAGTTCAGGGCCAAAACTAGCTACCAGCTCATGCTTTCTTTTCCCTGTATGCCTATAGCCTAGTCCTGCTGGGGATTCTGAGATCCATCTTACCAGAAGTAAAGAGGTAAGCCATAGGAGAAACATGAAGAGAAGTGAAAAAAAAAAAAAAAAAAAAAAGAGGCAGAGAGATTCAACAGAATGTAGCTCCAAGTCAGTTTCGTTTACAATTTCTTGATGGCTTGCCCTGAAAATCCCACCCCCTGCTGTGCCTGCCCTGCTTTGTGCCCTTAAGGATTCCATACTGTCACTGGCCTACATCAGAACTCTTTCTCCCTGGGGAAGATAGATGTCAGTCTATCTGGTCAACTCTATGCTAGACAGTGCTCCAGTCACAGGTGATTCAGAGATGACCAAGGAAGATGTTCCCATCCAGATGAATCTTTCAGGATCAAAGTCTTATGTAAAGGAACCCAGAAAGCCTTTGCAAAGGCAATTAACTGGACTCTCAGAGAAACCAGAAGGTCTAGGCTTTGAAATAGACTGACACATTTGTTTTACCTCTAAAGTTCCTTACGTCTGGCAACTCAGACCCTCCAAGTGCGTGCTTAATCTTCAAGGGTGCAGGTTGTCATGCAGGGAACATAAAAGTTTCACATTGGATGCTAATTCTGATCAACTGGTAGTGGTTGCCTGGAATCCTATCTTGAGAAGGACTGTGAAACCCCATCAGGGCTGAAGCAGGAAAAGGGCTGTGGTAGATGAGCAAAGCCTGCCACATATACTTAAGAGATAAGTGGTGACTAACTGCTACACATTACTCTCCCAGCCCTAACATAGATTCCACTACGTTTTCCACAGTCGTTTCCTACCTGCTCATTTCCCAACTAGGCAACAAGTTCTAGAGAAGGTGGCATTGCGCAGTGGAAGGAGCACTGGAAGCTGTGCATAGAAGTCTTTCTTTCTCTTCTTAAGCATGGCATGGTGGAATGGAATGAGCACAAGGTGTCCAGAATCAGAGAGAGGAGGCTTTGGAGCTAGGCATCCACTGTTCTACAGACTGTCCGATCCTGCACGTGTGACAGTGGATTCTTGTTTTTCATGGTAGTTACGCTCTGTGAAGTCTCTAAAAAAACACTGAATTAGCAAATACTGAACTATTATTACTCCTAGGGGAAAAACAGGGGTAGATTCCTGCGGGCCTCCAGTCATGACATTTTCATCAGCCAATCAATGTATAGCTTTCGTGCTACGTAAGTTTCTGTTTAAAGACAGAATATTTAATGTATATTATTGACTCACCTCACAGCCAACAGCACTATAACTCTTGCCTAAACAAAGCTTATCTGACACATATTTTCAGCGTAAGGCACGTCACAGCCTTCGTGGGCTTAGGAACGCCAGACAGCACTTCAACATTACAACTGAGGCCATTTTAAACAGTGAAGTCATCAACAAACAGCACAAAATGTGAAAAATGTAGCACTAAATACACTGCAAAACGGAAACTTGTTTACAGTGTGAGAGCTGAAACAGAAAGGTTTCAGAGTGTTGCTTTTTTTTAGGTTAGCTGGGAACATGCACTCTGAACAACTCAATTTTCTCACCACGGTGCACATGTCTGTAAATACTGCGAAAGCACTGGGGGTATTGATTTAGGCTTACAAATAAATTTTAGTGACTAGGCAAATTTGCAAATACAGATTAAGTGAATAATGAAGACGGACCGTACTTACCCTCTTTAAGCCTCCCTGTGAGCCATAATGCTACCTCCCTGACCCTACAGATTAAATGAGACAAGGTATGTAAAATGCTTCACATGGTTGCAGCTAGTTTTTTTTTTTCAACTTTTCATTTGTTTATTTTTTTTGAGAGATATAGAGAGAGAGGGAGAGAGAGAGAGAGAGAAGGGAAGGGGCAGAGAAAGAGGGAGAGAGACAGAATCTCAAGCAGGCTCCACACTGTCAGCACAGAGCCTGATGTGGGACTCGAACTCACAAACTGTGAGATCATCACAAACTGTGAGACCTGAGCTGACATCAAGAGTCAGACGCTTAACTGACTGAGCCACCCAAGCACCCCTCCAGCTAGTTCTTTATCCCATATATTTGCATCTTCACCTTTTATACCTTGTCTGCCATGCTTAACCCAGACGGATAAGTAGGCACAAAGAAATTTCCAGCCAAACGTACCATTTTTATCCCTGGAGCATTAACCAAAAACGACTCCCACTAATGCAAGCAGGAAGGAGGTATTTCAAACTTTTACAAAGGACACGCTCTGGGGGCTCTAACGTGCAGCGGTCGGCACAGCCAGGACACCCCAGGATGGGACTGAAACAGGTAGGTGAGATGCAGTGCTGTGTCTTGTGGCCGTGCCATCTGCCATCCCTGCTTCTCTCTGAGCACCTGCTACACTTTCTGCTTCTCTTGGTAGACAGCTTTCCGCTCCTCTCTCTGGCTTCCTTGTACCCTCAGAATTTTGGCTCAAATGTAGTTCTGGCTCTTACAGAGCTGATTCCAGCCTGACTTTACATGGCTGGGGCACACCTGTAGTCTTTGCCTGTCTAGTACTATTCCCCCACCTCCGGTAACACTGTGACTGTACCTCTGGCTTCAGGGTTGGCCCGTGACCCAGGCCATTGACTTTCTCCTGATAATTTGATACTCTCTTAGTTATGGTCTATCACTTCCTTTGTCACTTTGTATATCTTTTTTGCTACCTCCTAAGGCTTTTGTTTGCTCAGAGCTCTTGTTTATTCATTGCTTCTGCTTACTCATGAAGTCTGAATACTGCCTTCTCTTTGTGTCTTTCAGCTTCTGCTTTCACTGCTCATCTTTTCTTATTTCTCCAGTTCTGATTCCTGAAAGAGAAAATCATTGGCACAGCTAATTGCCACCTTCTTGAGTGAAACTTCCATGCCAGGATACTCTATAGGCTCATGTCCAGCCTATTGATCAGCTGCTCCTAGGTAAGTGCCTCCCATTGTCCAATAAGCTGCAAGCAGGGTTGTAGAGGTGGGAGGGGTGCATGTGGTATGGAATGTGGTCACCTATGTTTATGGATTGATATCAAGGTGGTTATCCAGATGCCTGTGGTTTTTTTTTTTTTTTAAATATAATTTATTATCAAGTTGGCTAACATACAGGATATACAGTGTGCTCTTGGTTTTGGGGGCAGATTCCCGTGATTCATTGCTTACATACAATACCCAGTGCTCATCCCAACAAGCGCTCTCCTCAATGCCCATCACCTATTTCCTCTCTCCCCCGCCACCCCCATCAACCCTAGCTTGTTCTCTGTATTTAAGAGCCTTTCGTTGTTTGCCTCCCTCCTTCTCTGTTTGTAACTTTTTTTCTCCTCCCTTTCCCCATGGTCTTCTGTTAAGTTTCTCAAGTTCCACATATGAGTGAAAACATATAATATCTGTCTTTGTCTGATTGACTTACTTCACTTAGCATAATAGCCTCTGGTTCCATCCACATTGCTGCAAATGGCATGATTTCCTTCTTTCTCATTGCCAAGTAGTATTCCATTGTATACATAAACCACATCTTTATCCATTCATCAGTTGATGGATATTTAGGCTCTTTCCATAGTTTGGCTATTGTTGAAAGCACTGCTATAAACATTGGGGTGCATGTGCCCCTATGAATCAGCACTCCTGTATCCTTTGGATAAATTCCTAGTAGTGCTATCACGGGGTCATAGGGTAGTTCTATTTCTAAGTTTTTGAGGAAGCGCCACACTGTTTTCCAGAGCGGCTGCACCAGTTTGCATTCCCACCAACAGTACAATAGGGCTCCCATTTCTCCACATCCTCTCCAGCATCTGTTGTTTCCTGAGTTGTTAATTTTAGCCAGCCTGACTGGTGCGAGGTGGTATCTCAGTGTGGTTTTGATTTGTATTTCCCTGATGATGAGTGATGTTGAGCATCTTTTCATGTGCCTGTTAGCCATCTGATGTCTTCTTTGGGAAAGTGTCTATTCATGTCTTCTGCCCATTTCTTCACTGGATTATTTGTTTTTGGGTGTTGAGTTTGGTAAGTTCTTTATAGATTTTGGATGCCAACCCTTTATCTGATATGCCCTTTATCTGATATGTCCTTTGCAAATATATTTCCCATTCTGTCAGTTGCCTTTTAGTTTTGTTGATTGTTTCCTTTGTAGTGCAGAAGTTTTTTGTCTTGATGAGGTCCCAATAGTTCATTTTTGCTTTTATTTCCCTTGCCTTTGGAGACATGTCAAGCAAGAAATTGCTGCAACAGCTGTCTATGTTTTTTGAACACCCCGAGTCCAATCTATGAAGAACACCTATTAACTCTACTCTGGAAATGTATTTAGAATGTAATCACTTCTCACCACGCCTGCTGCTGCTACCTGTTCCAAGCCACACTGCCTCTCACCTGCCATGAGGTCACCTGCTTCTCTACTCTGTACTCTATTCCTCACATAGCACCCAGAGTGATTCCCTGAACACCCAAACCAGGTCATGTCATTCCTTTGCTTCACATATTGCAACGTGAATTTCACTCAGAGCAAGACCTAAAGACCTGGCCCCCATTATAATCTGACTTCATTTTTACCACTTTCTGTCTTGCTCACTCTGCTCCAGTCACACTGTCTGCCTTGCTTTTCCTCAGATCATCCAGGCATGCTCCCATCACAGGGCCTTTGCTCTCACCGCCCCACCTGTCTGAAGCATACCCCGCAGATACTGGCTTGACTGACTCCTTTAGATCCTTACTCCCCCACAAGGCATGCCTGACCAACCTATTCAATACTACACCTGTAGTATCAAATGCAGTACTGTAAGTACTATAGTATTAAACACGATAGTTCCCCATATCCATTCCTCTTCTCCTACAGTACTTTTTGTTCCTCTACTTACCGCTTTCTAACATACTATCTAAATTATGCATGTTATTTATTGCATGTCTCCCCCAGCTAGAATGTAAGTTCCACAAAGATAGAGATCTTTGTCTGCTTTGTTCCCTTTGTTCCCTTTGTATACTGAGGATTTAGAATAGTGTCTGGCCCAAGCACTCCATAAATATTTGCTGAATTAAATTGAATTCCTCGGTAGGGAGCTATATACGTGGCAGGTACACTAAGGTTTCTCCATGCAATATAGAAGATCTCTTTCAGGGAAATTTATAACACTAAGTGCACGTATTAGAAAAGAGGAAAAATCTCAGATCAATCATCTAAGCTTCCGTTGAAGAAACTAGAAAAAGAACAAAATGAACCCAAAGCAAAAGAAATAATAAATAGCAGAAATCAATGATTTTTTTAAAGTTTCTATTTAAATTCCAGTTAGTTAACATACAGTATAATATTAGTTTCAGGTGTACAACATAGTGATTCAACACTTCCATATAACACCTGGTGCTCATCACAAGTGCCCTCCTTAATCCCCATCACCAATTTCACCCATTCCCCCACCTACCTCCCCTCTGTAACCATCAGTTTGTTTCTATAGTTAAGGAACTGTTTCCTGGTTAATCTTTCTCTTTCTTTTTCCCCTTTGCTCATTTGTTTTGTTTCTTAAATTCCACATATGAGTGAAATTATATGGTATTGGTCTTTCTCTGACCGACTTACTATGCTTAATACCCTCTAGCTCCATCCATACTGTTGCAAATGGCAATAGAAATCAGTTTTTTTTTTAAACAATACTATGAACAACTCTACACACATAAATTTGACAACTTAGATTAAATGGACTGATTCCTTGAAAAACACAAACCAACCAAACTCGCCCAATGTGGAATAGATCATTTGAGTAGCACTATAACTATTACAGAAATTCATACCTATTAGGATGGCTAAAATAAAAAGTAACACCAAATGCTGTTGAAGATGCAGAGAAACCAGATCGCTTGCTGGTCCCACTGCGGGTGGGACTGTAAAATGGTACAGCCACTCTGGAAAAGTTTGGTAATTTTAAAAAAAACACTAAACATCCATGGGGCACCTGGGTGGCTCAGTCGGTTGAGCGGCCGACTTCAGCTCAGGTCATGATCTGGCAGTTTGTGAGTTTGAGCTCCATGTTGGGCTCTGGGCTGACAGCTCAGAGCCTGGAGCCTGCTTCAGATTCTGTGTCTCCCTCTCACTCTGTCTCTCTCTCTCTCTCTCTCTCTCTCTGTCTCTCAAAAAGAAGTAAACATTAAAAAAAATTAAATTAAAAAATTAAAAAGAACACTAAACATACAACCCCATACAACCCAGCAACTGCACTCCTGGGTGTTTATCCCAGATAAACGGAGACTTCCGTTCACACAAAAATCTTTACATGAATGTTTATAGCAGCTTTATTTATAATAGCCAAAAGCTGGAAACAACCCAGATGTACTTTAGTGGGTGAATGGCTAAACAAATCAGGTATATCCACCCCATGGAATACTCAGCAATAATAAAAAAAACAAAAAACCAAAACACATTATTGATACATGCTACATTTTGCATACTATGTGAAATTGCACAAAGTGAAAAAATTATGAATTTTGAGAAGTTAAAAAAAGACATGTTATGTGGGGAAAAAAAACAAGAAAAGTACCTATTGTGTGATTCTATTTATAGAGCATTCTTGAAATTCTATAACAAAATTACAGAAATGAAGAACAAATTGATGGCTGCCAGGGATAACAGACTCAGTAGGGGTGAGGAGAATGGGACAGAGTTGCCTTATAAAAGGGCAGCATGGGAGGGGTGCCTGGGTGGCTCAGCTGGTTAAGCTTCCAACTTTGGCTCAGGTCATGACCTCGAGGTTCCTGGGTTCAAGCCCCACATCGGGCTCTGTGCTGACAGCTCTAAGCCTGGAGCCTGCTTGGGATTTTGTGTCTCCCTCTCTCTCTGCCCCTCCTCCACTCACGCTCTTTCTCTCTCTCTCTCTCTCTCTCTCTGTCTCAAAAATTAATAATGAAACATTTAAAAAATAAATAAATAAAAGGGCAGCATGGGGATTCTTGTGGTGATGGAATGTTCGTATCAACATCAATATCCTGTTTGTGATACTGTACTATAGTTTTGCAAGATGTTACCAATGGAGAAACTGAGTGTATTAGTTAGGGCTCTCCAGAGAAACAAGAACAGGGTTGTAGATACAGATGTGAATATTGATATAGATAGATAGATAGATACAGGTATGTAAGAGGGGATTGATTGAAGGAAATGGTTTGCATGATTATGGAGACTGAAAGTCCCATGAGTATGCATATTTATTTGTATAATCATGTACATCAGACACAGGGAACCGTTTGGAAGAAAAGACACCAAAATAACAGTAGTCATCTCTTAGTAGTAGGATTATAAGCATTCTTTCCTTCTTTTTTCTTTCTCTCTTTCTTTCTTTCTTTCTTTCTTTCTAAAAAAATTTTTTTTCAACGTTTATTTATTTTTGGGACAGAGAGAGACAGAGCATGAACGGGGGAGGGGCAGAGAGAGAGGGAGACACAGAATCGGAAACAGGCTCCAGGCTCTGAGCCATCAGCCCAGAGCCTGACGCGGGGCTCGAACTCCCGGACCGCGAGATCGTGACCTGGCTGAAGTCGGACGCTTAACCGACTGCGCCACCCAGGCGCCCCTCTTTCTTTCTTTTTAACTTATGGGCATTTTCTTATTTTTGTATAGTGGACACATATTACATGAGCAATTTTCAAAGTACACCATATTTTTAAGACATTGTTTAGACCAACCTTTAATCCATTGCCTGAAATCTGCAATCATCTCCAAATCATTAGTCATTTCAGTCTTTTATATCATAGAAATTAATATTTCCCAAAGTGGCCGAGGTAGCTCCAATTATTAGAAATGAGAGCTGCTGAAAGCAAACGTCTGTACTGCCTGTGCCCTCAGAGGGTTTAAGGACATGGATTTGGTCCTAGCACAGGTCAATTAACTTGGCTCATTCCCAGGGCAAAAGGGGGAAGGGACACCCCCCAATGTTCACAAAGGCTATGCATTACTCAAA